ATTCTTCAAGAACTTTAACACCTAAAATATATTTCAAAACAAAATCAATTTATAAGATATATTTAGAATTTTTTGTATAAATCAAACCTGGTGATGGTTGTTCATCAACTGGAAATGTTATATTACGTGCTGGTTGTGCTGTTATAGCATTGATTATATCCGGTGTTTGTAATTGAACAGTCGGTGTTGTATTTGAAATAATTGTATAGGCACGTAATTTTTCATCTAATTCTGGTGTACTTAATTGAAGTTTATTGTAATCACTTGGGGTGAATAAATTCGAGCTTGCCATACGTTGTCCGCCAAGTTGTAATGTGCTAGGTCGAGATGAACTTGGTACTGTACGAGATGGTGGCGGAGACATATTCGTTGTTGTTGTTGTACTAACAGTTTCATTTTGTGCAACAAATGATAAATTCGGTTCAACTTGTTGTGGATCTTGATCGTTTTTTATTGTATGATCATCCATACTTCTGTAATAAGAAGAAAGTAAGTATTTCATTTAGACAAAAATGTGTGTTTACATACATAAGTAAATATATGAATACAAAATAATGTATATGATATGTATATTTTTTTTTCCTTGATGCGTAAACCTACTTTTTCGATCAGACGAATAATAGAACACAGCAGAAAAAAATGTATATTGTATGAAAAAAAAAGCTGTTTTAATGATGGAAGAAAGAAAAAAAGTGCACGAGTGGGCGGTACAAGCGCAACAAAAGTGTTATATATATATATATGTATGGGAGGAAAGAAAGGCAAATAAAAAAAAATATCGTGACTCAGTTGAAATATCAATGGTTCTCTTTTTTTGAGTCACTATCAAAAAAAATTATTGGTGGAAAATATCATCAAGGATTAAATATATTAATTATTGATTTTAATAAGTAAAAACAAAAAATAAATATTTTTTTTAAATTTTTCAAAGTTTATTATAAAAAGCGGCATCTATAGGAACTATAGATATCGGTATAATAAGCTAGTGTATATCGATGAGTAAACACACGTTAATGTATTCTATTATTTTTGTTGGGATTTACACCAACACAAGATGATTCATCATATCGAACGATTTGATTTTCTTCCTCTTTGGAAATAATTATGACTCATAATAACGTTTCTATTATTGAGAAATATATGAAAAGTACACTTAAACAATTTAACCATGACAACTGACGTTTTAAGAATGCTGAAAAGTTTTATTGGATAAACTAAATATTGCTCATCGAAAATTTGCTTATAACATATGTTTAAATTGACAGTAATTAATAAGTCTATTTGATAGTAACTCAATAGTTGAATTGATTAATGATAATTGTAATTTACCTGTGTGGCTTTTTCTTTCGTTCCTAGATCAATGTCTTTTATTGCGATATAAGCTTATATTCGAATACTATATTAATCAAGAGTACATTAATGATAAAATCAACGATCAGTGTGTTAAGAATAACTATTAACCCAACTACTCTCGAGTTCAAGAATGTTATTTGTAGTAAACAATGTTACTATAATCCGTACAAAACAAAATATATATATCGCATATTTTCTTGGGTATATAATGTACAATTAAAAAAAACAATATTACCAATCTTTATTCTTGCAATATGAAAAAAAAAATAATAAAGAATACATATATGAAATATCCAATAGTATATTAAGATTAAAATTATGACGCATAGTTTAATTTGATAAAAGAATTTATTGTTTTTAAAAAGATAATAGGTTAGAAATCGAAAACAAAACGAGATTCCATTCATCAATAAAAAGAAAAGATAAATCAAACAATTTCATAGAATTCATTTCTTAACTCGTTGTCTTTTTCACTATTATTTAAATACGTTGTTGATCATTGTTTGGTGTTACTTTAACTTTTCTTTCCCATCCATAAAGAAATGTAGCACTTATAACTAATATTGTTCCCATAAAAAAGAATCTAAAGATTAAAATCAATATATATATGACGTATTCATCAGAAAATTTAATTCTTACAATGATGGGTTAAAATCATTTAGAACAAAATATGAAACAACAGATGAAAGAATAATTGAAAGAGAAGTTGCAAAACCTTTTATAATATTATCAGCATATTTAATCACAGCAGCTATTATTAAACCACCAATTGCCTATTTAAAAATGAAATAATTCGTTTTGAAAATTAAAATTATTCTTAAATACTTGAAGAAAAACTACAATCCATACAATCGTTGAATATCCTTGAAAAAATCCTTTTTCCATTACTGCATCATAATCAAAAATATAAACAATTACTAAACCAAATATAGTTCCAAATATCGCTAGGAAATAATAAACAAACAATAAATACAATTATATATATAAATATTAATTCTAACCTAATTGAATGTTTCGCATCCAAACGGAAGTCGGTCCTGTTTTAAGAATTTTTTCGAAATAAACACCAGCAAAACCTGATGTCAATGTAGCCATTAAAACAGCACCAAAACCCATAAATTGTTGTAACCAAGATCTTTGAACTTGTGATGATGTACGTTTATTAACTTCATCTGATGATGGCCACTAGAAGATTCTACGAAATGTAAATTTCTTTAACATTCGCTTGTTTTCTTACCGTTACAAATGCAACACCAAGTGCAAGCATACATAGAGAAAACCATTGATGTTTATCAATTCTTTTCCGAAGCATAAATACTGAACAAAGTGCTGTTGTTAAAATTTTTAATTGATAAGTAACTTGATAAGTTGCCGCATTCAGATAGGATAAAGCAATAAATAAAAGATTATTTTGTATTGCATATAAACCACTTGGTATTGCTAATTTTACAGTTTCAGTTGGTTTATTATAGATTTCATCAGTTAATTTACGAATTAATCGACTGAATGAACAATCTAGATGAAATAATTTTTTTTCGAAAAACAAAAAGAAATTATATTTTTATATTTACACATACCATTTTCAATCCAAACAAGAACGACACAAATTAATCCTTTTATAAATTCAGAAGCAACAATAGCTGTTGATGAAACATATGGTACATCTATTTTTGTACGTGAATAACGTAGGAAAAGTACAATACCCGTTGTTTGAAAGATCAGTGATATCAAACTAATCCATTTCAAATTATTTTGTTGTTTTGTCTTTAAAAATAGAATAAAGTTCATAGAGTCATAGCTTTGTATATACTCACTCGATGCATTTTCTAGATACTCGTTGCGAACAAAATAATATATCTAGAGCGAATAAGCAAGAAGAAAATTATTGAACATGAATTTTTTTTGATTGTAATATACAATGAGAAAGAAAAGAAGGATTTTAGCTTTTATCTCTACCTCTGTCTGTATTCTTTCTTCGTTGCCAAATCTGAAAGAAAAGTATCATCTGTTTCAACAAATAAACAATTGTTTTTCATGATCTTTTATTTCTTTAAAAGAACAACGAACAAAAACGGTAAACTTTAACAACATTCTGAATCAACAAGTTTTAATCCATTACAATATTGAAAATCTTTACTGTTCACATAATCAACGATATCTAAAGCGACTTCACAACTTTCACGAACAACACGTTCTTTATCATGTAAATAATCTTCAAGAATATGTCGACATTCATCTGTACCAATTGAACCCAATGTTTCAGCACATTCATGTCGAACCATATAATTTTCATCGAGTATAGATAATTGTTGATGAAGTGCTGGTATTGAACATATTGATTGAAGTTGTCCAAGTACAAAAGCGATTTCATGACGAAATAAAGCACTTGATGCTTTAAATCCTACATATAATAAATAGCGTGAAATCAATAATAAGAAAGTACAGAAAACATACCTTCACAAATAGCAAGTACAGCTTCATCACTACCAATATTTCTCAAAGCAAACATAGCACGATATCGTTCGAATAATGATCGATTTTCATCCAATAAAATAGTTTTAAGTTCATCAATTGTTGTTGGTGGAAGAGGTGGAGCTGGATCAACTGTTGTATAGACTGTTTCTTTTGAATTCGAAGATGATTCATTATTCGAGGCAGTTTTTCTTAGCCATGCTAAACGATCAAGTGCAATTTGACATGTTTCAGAGATCTTAAAAAAATTACACATTATATATAATTCTTAAATAAACGAATAGATTCGTACTTCTGCTCGTGGATTTTGACTTTGTTTAGTTAGAGCATCGACAACATCAGAATTATCAAAGCATCCTAATGCACCTAATGCTTCTCCTGAAAAACAATATACATGAATGATGTACATGCTAAATGTTTTTGTTCATCAAAAAACCTGCTTCATGTCGAACCATAGAATCTTCATTTGAATCGTTTAACACTTGAATAAGTTTATTAATAGCATATTTATCACCCATTTGGCCGAGACAATAAGCACATTCATGTTTAAGTAATGCTGATGTATCATTAAATGCTGCAGAAATAGCATCAACTATTTCAGAAGTTTTTTCTAATTGCTGTTCATTTTGACTACCGAGACTTTTCAAAGTAAATAGTATACGAAATCGAAGTTTAAGTGGTAATGATGTATCAACTAACATTGTTGATAATTTTTCAATAGTTGCCTCGTTAGTAATAGGTGACATTGTAACTTATTTCAATCGAATATCTTCTTGTAAATAAAATAGATCGAAGTAAATTCGTTTCATTATACAATTGATAGCTGATTGGTTACTGACTATTAACCAATTGAAATTATAGCTTGTCCTTTAAAAAGATAAATAATTTTATTAGAAAAAAATTTTTGTAATTTAATTTCGAAAAATTGAATAATTTTCTTATATAATTTTTATTAAAAATTTGTAATTTCTAAAATAAAAATAATTCTTTCTTATCAATCCTCCTACATCGTACGTCTTGTTATTGTTTTTTATCCACGTTAATCAGATTTTTCTCTTTCGTCACTTTACTATTGTGTGTGTGTAGTTGTGTGTGCGAGTGCGCCTTTACTTGTTGGTACAAAAAAAAAAGTATAAAAAAAATCAAAAAACTTTTCTTAAACTTCACCATTTGCGTGAACCCAAAAAAAGCGTAAAATCTCTTTCAAAAGAAGAAAATACGTTAACTATCCTAACTTCTTTATTTATCCCATAACGATACAAAAAAAAGCCAACAACAGCGCTATACGACAAAAAAAACAATAAAAAATATGGCAACTAATATTACTGCAGGAGCTCCAAGTTATCCAATGGCCTCTTTATACGTTGGTAAGTTTAAATTATTTTAAATTACTTTTTTAATTATTTTTTAATTATAGGTGATCTTCATCCAGACGTCACTGAAGCTATGTTATTCGATAAATTTGCAAGTGCAGGACCTGTACTTTCAATTCGCGTTTGTCGCGATATGATTACACGACGATCACTTGGTTATGCATATGTCAATTTTCAACAACCAGCTGATGGTATATATTAAAAAAAAACGTTCTTAAATTTTATTTCAAATAAAATATTTTTTAGCTGAACGTGCATTAGATACAATGAATTTTGATTTACTTCGTGGTCGTCCATTACGTATTATGTGGTCTCAACGTGATCCCGCATTACGTAAATCAGGTGTTGGCAATGTATTTATCAAAAATTTGGATAAAAATATTGATAATAAATCTCTTTATGATACATTCTCTGCATTTGGCAATATACTTTCATGCAAAGTAATGATTTGTTTTTATGAGCATAAAAAAAACTAAATGTTTGATTTTTTGTGTAAATCCATAGATTATGACAGATGAAAATGGTCAATCAAAAGGCTTTGGTTTTGTTCATTTTGAAACACAAGAAGCAGCTGATAATGCTATTAATAAAGTTAATGGTATGTTACTTGCTGACAAGAAAGTTTATGTCGGTCGATTTATATCACGAAATCAACGTAATGATGGTGGTGGTCAACGAAAATTCACAAATATATTTGTTAAAAATTTCGGTGATCAATTAGACGAAGAAAAATTACGCGAACTTTTTTCAAAACATGGTAAAATTACCAGTTGCAAGGTAAAATCTAATTAAAGATGTATTTCTATTCTTGATATCTTAATATATAGATTGAAAATGATGAAAATGGTAACTCAAAAGGTTTTGGTTTCTGCAGTTTTGAAAGTCCAGAAGAAGCTGAAGAAGTAAATTATTTTATAAATTTTACTTATTATTAATTTATTCTTTTTATTTTTTGTTTTGATAGGCAGTTGATAAATTAAATGGTTATTCAATAGGTGATAAACAACTTTATGTTGGTCGTTTTCAAAAGAAAAATGAACGTCAATCAGAAATAAAACGTAAAAAAGATTTACAACGTCAAGAACGAATGAATAAATATCAAGGTGTTAATTTATATATTAAAAATTTGGATGATACAATTGATGATGAACGATTAAGAAAAGAATTCTCGAAATTTGGCACAATTACTAGTGCTAGAGTAAGTTTACATATCATTTTCTTTTTGATGATTTGAAATAAATTATTTTTTTTCTGTTTTAGATTATGTCTGAAAATGGTCGTTCAAAAGGTTTCGGTTTCGTATGTTTCAGTGCACCTGATGAAGCAACAAAAGCTGTTACAGAAATGAACGGTTCAATTGTTGGATCTAAACCACTCTATGTCGCTTTAGCCCAACGAAAAGAAGAACGTCGTATGCATTTAACTAATCAACATATGCAACGTATTGCAACATCACGTGTACCACCACAAATGCAATTACCATTTCCAAATGGTATGGGCGGTATGATGTCCTATTTACCAACACCAATGGGTCCATCACAACCACGTAACTTCTATCCACCA